ATATGACGCTGACTGTACAAACGGCGGCGAACGGTAAGGCCACGAGACCAAACTAGCATATATGATGACAAACTTAAATTTGATGTTGGTTTTATCTACCTAATATCTGTCATCCGCGTCGAACACTTCTAGTAAATTTTGAAAAATGGTTTGATGCAAAGTGTCAAATGAATGTAACAGAAGTAGTTTATTCCAAATTGTATCACAAGTATATAGAGATAGAGTTCAATTTTGTCAAATGTACCGATATTTTTGCGCACCTTGACTGCTTCGTTACTTATGACGCTGTGGCTGCTACGATATTTATGAGCATCTTGCATGTACTCATATATTTGACGCTGTGTATGTACCGATGTATTTGAGCAGGGTGAATGTATCTATTATTTTGAGGACTTTTGTTGTACCGATATAATTGATTACTTTTGATGTACCTATATATTTGCATATCTTGTCTGTTACGATCTATATGACGCTGACTGTACATATTAGAGGACATATATAATATCCTATCCTCTTTTCCCCCGTTCACACTACTTCAAAAAGGTTTGGACCACTAGATGAATCTGGAACATATAAGATGAACAAAATAATTCTATTTCACATCTGTTTTATGCGAGGTGGTATTGAATTGGTCCAGCAAACCCATTCGGCAACACACGTGGTTATTGTGGGCTCTGCAACTGCTCTGTAAAATATTTAATAAACACTTCTATCAATATTTATATGCTGGTACCTTAAGACATTACTAATAGAAAGAACTTTGAATTCATAGTTATAATCTAGTCATTTTTTGGTTAAAGTAACTTGCTATATTTCAGATTAATGATGCTTTTAGAAAATGTCTTTGAAGAAATGATAAGTGATGGAATATATACTGCTTATAATTTTTTTTGTGGTTGAATTGCCTGACCATCTTAGTAAATAACTTATAAAATAAACACGATACGGTTTTTAGTCAATATTTTACAAGATTTCTGAACGTTTTTTTCCAATGTCACAATGACATTTAATTGTTGTCAACAACAAGTTTTATTGTGAAGATGGCGACGACCGGAGTTGGTTTTCGTTGGCTAGATATTTTGGAAAAGGAGTTTGACAAAGCATGTGTCGAACTAGATACCTCAGTAGGTAAGTAATGTATTTTCATAGAAATCAAATCATTGCATAGTATTCATAGTTACTATCTGCAATTATCGTAAACCTCGCTTGTATTGCAGTTTTCCTCTATTTTCATCTTGTTTTATTCATTTATTTGGTATTTTAGCATTCTTAAATGATTCTATAGTTACAAATAGTCACCTCGATGCAAGCTGAAATGAAATTAAGTACAGAATCTTCCAGCAGATTATGACATTTGCACAAGATATTGATAAAAAATATTGCAAATTTCAGCGGATTTGGAAACGGAAGAGCCGGATGTGGCATTCGCCGCGCGTCAGAAAATTGCAACCCTCAGCTCATGCTTTGCTCAACTGACTCACAAAGCTCTCACTATATTTCAGAACAGTGCCAAACTAGAGGTAAGTCCAAACAAATAGTTGATTTATAATTCTGGTTAATTAATAGTTTTTTTTAGCTTCAGAACAAACATCTATACAGCAACCAAAATGTAATGAAAAAAAACACTGCAAAGTTATTTGTGTTGGCTATCAGTTACTCTTTACAAAGCCTGTAATTTTCTTATTGGATTATGTCAAGAAGATAACTAAAAATAATATTTATTATTTACTTTCCAAATATGGTTAGTTATGCAACATTGAAAATTCATCCAGGCTCTTCTCAAATTTTACAAATAATGTGTTTGTTACATTTTATTTCATAAGATAATTAGTATTAGTCCTGATGTCTGTAGTGATGCCACCATTATATATATTTTCCAATTGTTTTTGTCCAACAGCAACTTGTATATTCATTGAATGCAAATTTTTGAAAATGTTATATTTAGTGCACCTAATTGAAATGTTTCGATGTCCTTAAAATTATTTTGCAGTATTTTAACTATTTATCATCATATCAGGACTTTTTCTCCGGAGTATTCAAAAATAAGAATAAGAATAGAATAAGAATAAATTTATTTCACAAAAACACGTTAGAATAATATACAGTGAAGTATCTTGCAGACCCCGAACTAGGCTGAGCCTGTATCTCGGGGCCTGTATATAAATATAAGATGGGTTGATTGAATATTTATGTTTTAATATTTAAAGACAATCTCTCAAGTATAGAAGTTTCTTAATGTATATTACAGATACATTCATATATTTGTAATGTAAGGATTTTTCTGTTTAATGGTGTGATATTATGTCACCTTTGTATAGGACACAGTGACTTATGTCATAGGTGGCTTTGTTTCATACAAATGCATTACCTAAGCTAAAAAGATTGATATATTTTTGTTACAAAGGATTTCAACATAATGATATGATTAGTAAATAAAACATCCATTTGGTATGATATAGATATTATTAATATATAATACAAGCGAATATTACATTTACGATAAGGATTTGCTCTTTAAGCTAGGGCCACGGTCGTAAGGGTCTTTGCGAAGATGTCTCCGATGTGGACGCCTGGCAGCGATGCTTGTTTCGAAAGGATTCTTCAGAATTATTTTGTCTTCATTCATCATGTCACTGCCTCCACCGGCATCGAAAAGGTTATTGTATTGGTCGCCATCCTCCCAATCATCATCTTCATCTGATATCTCTTCATTTCTGAAAAATAATGTTCAAATTGTTAATAATGTCCTCCAACATTTATAATCTGATGAATCTTGTATAATTTTATTTAATTGTTTATAGGCAAACCTTTTTTGAATACATCATTTACGTAATTACTAACTTAGTTGTCTCATAATCTGTCTTTGCAATAATTTTTTTAAGCCAATTTCTTCTCGTATGTTATCTTGTGGTTTACCTGATAGAATTTAGGTGTAAAAGTAATCGGTCGGCTTCTTCTTTAACCTCGGACGTAGGCGGAGTGGGCTCGTTGTTGTCAAAGCCAAGCTGCCTCTCCAAGCGCTGCAGTGCCGCATCAGCTCTATTCGTCAGCCCGACGAATTTCTCTGTCAGCTGTTGCAGTTCGGTCTCTTTCATCGTCGTATGTGTCGCGTTTCGGAATAAAGTCTCTAATCGACGACAATTTGAATCCTGCATCTGAAAATTAAAAGTGGATTTAGTTATTTTATGGGTTTTTTTATTCATTTGTGTTCTTGCTTTGAATTGTATCAAGAGGTTGTCAATTATGGATGTTGTCAATGAGATGCATTTTTTTACCTGTGTTTGCCGACCGTTGTTAAGTAGTTTCATAATCTTGTTGTCGTGGTTTCGCATGGTAACTTGAATGTTCTGCAGCTCGTGGAATGTCGCCGCGGTTCTGTGAATTAAATTAATTCTTTTGAGATATTTTATTTTTCAAACTATCGTCGTATATATAGCGGTCGCTATACTAATGAATCATGTTTGTAATGCAACGTAAAACCCATTGGAACATCTAAGAAAATTTTTACAAGTATGATAATGGAATTTTATTAGCGATTACAGCTAACTTAATTTGAAAACAATAGACAAATTAAACAAACAAATAACAAATTAAATATTCATACTTATTGATAAGGGAATCGATAAGCTTATCCAATACGTCCGCGACGTGCGTTGGGTCATCAAGCTGCACACGCTGACAAGAGTCTACGAAGCGTTTTTGTTCGTCCAGTAATTCTTGCATCTGTTAAAAAAATTATCAAATGAGAATAACATTTACCACTTTTATTATAAAGTTTGTAACACAATTTCACCGAATTATGCATTCGTACCATAGTTTCGTTACGTACGGTACATGTCTTAAAAGGAAAAAAATCATATCAAGATATCAAATACCTAAAGTCTTAAAATTTACCTTCAAATCGATCTTATATGAGTTATCGTGTAATCGTCGGGAGAAGGCAGCCTCCAAGTCAGCTGACGAGAGCCTAGCGTCACGTTGTCGTCTCGCCAGGGCGCGCAGCCCGTCGGCGAGCTCTCGTCGCGTCACGTTCACTAGAGCCAGGCCGTCCCTCATCAGAGCCTCTAGCACTATACCTCTATGCCAGGTTTCAGCGTAAGCACCGCTCACCTAAAAAAAACGATATTTTTTTATTTGATTTCAATTCTTTCCTCTTATGAAAGCTTATGTTACTAAAAATACTCAAAAAAAGTTTTTAATTATGTTATTATAGTTTTAGGATATTGGATACATAGATACAACTTGTGGTATTCTCTAGCGGCAGTTTCTTAAAGTAATTTTTACTTAAAGCAGTCATTTTGTTAAGTATAGAAAGATGAATGAGCGGCTTAAATCGTCGAGCATCTTTCTGGGTCACGGACAGGGTTTTAACTTAGTTATGCATATTATGTAAGGACATGACAAGTCAAAGAAAAAACAACTAAAGCAACGAATAACGTTGATCAATTATAGAAACGAATTCTTAACGCGGTGCATAATGTAATAGCGGCCTTAATTTGTTGCAGACAGTAGTAAATATAGTTAAAGCGTTAACTGACAGTTAAATTGTTGTCACACTTTATCAATTGATACAATGAGCTGTTTAACTAATACGTACCTTTTCTAATAGATGAGCGTGGGAATTAATATGATTAGTTAGGTTCTGTGCGATTTCGGCGATTTTAATTTGACTGCGCTCTATTTTCTCTCCGCTCTCCTTAATTGATGCCTGCAATTTGTATTAATCTCATTTAGTTCAATAAAAAAGTTGAAATAAATATTTTTTTACGGCTATCATTTTCGTCATACATTTAAATTATATTAAATAATAGTACATACCTGTACTGTAGTCTGCAACATGTGCAGACGATGCTCGAGTCTCTCCGCCGCCAGTTGCGCTCTCTCCAGTCGCAGCGTGAGCGTTGTCTCCACGCGGTCTGCGATCAATTACAAATCAATTAGGACATCCTCATTGGCCATCTCTTCCTAGATGTTATGTTAATCCTTTTGCTATTACAGTTCGCTTTATCCCATCGCTGGCAATTGATTGTACGCCGCCCCTTTTGTCTAATTGTAAACGATATACGGGATACGTTGCGAAACTTTACACTGCGTCACTAAAATAGGATATGACACAATAATTTCTTACTCATTGTACAAACATTGGAAGTGCCGTTCGTTTGTACGAATTGTACGAGATTTAGGTCAGATAGGGAACTGCTGATCTTCAGCGTGGATGGAATGTTTGTGTTCAACGCTAACAAACAAACGTAAAAGAGATTACACGCCGCATGCGGACTTTACAAAACTTTTGGCATCGAACGAAATAGCGAGCTTTTTTACAAATAATATAATATGACAAATGTAATCTTTCCTTATTTTAGTATAATATATTGTTTTGATCGATTACATATGTCAATTTATTGCGTTGTTAATTTTAAATGCGCTTTAGAATTTTTCTATTCTTATTTTTAAGCAGCCTAAATAATCAAATTCATTCTTACCCAATTTATCCTGTATGACGTCCAGGCGCCGTGCTTGTTTCACTTGAGCTGTGTTTATTGTATCCAGAAGTCTGAGCCGCTCCTCAATACTCGTTAATACACTGTTCAGATCCTGTAAATTGTGTTAGATTAAAGATTATGTTTAAAATAACACCAATTCTTTAGCTAAATCGATTATATATTATATTATTATATATTATTACAGATTTCTTTGAAAACTAAGGGACAAACATTAGTGTTTTAAAATGTGTTATATTTGGAAATTTATAGTAAATAGTCCGTCCGATCGTTAAATTCGTGAAACAGTATGAAATACAATTCTGTTGAGATTCGTCTCTTACAGTTTATTGTTAGGTATAAAATACGCTCAAAATACTTATACATACTTAGTAACTAGTTTATTTTTCACGTCGTCTAAAATTGTGTTTCGTATTTGAACATTTATACGTGAATAACTCATCATCAGCTCACTATACGTCCCCACCGAGGGGCTCGGAGCCTAAGGGTGACTAGGCCATAGTCAATCAAGCTGGCCCAAAGCGGGTTGGTTGACTTCACACATGTCTTTGAAATTCTTCCCAGATATGTGCAGCTTGCATCACGATAAATGTACATACGTAAATCGGAAATCGAAAAACACATAGGTACAAGGCGGGATTCGAACCCAGGAGATGCAGATTGCAAGTCAAGTGCTTGACCGCTGAGCCACCGATGCTCTGAATATTTACATTTATTATATTTTTATTTATTTCTGATAATTAAACGTAAGAACATAACATATGAAGCCTTAGGGCAACGTTAATGGGGTGTAAAATTAATAAGTCACAAGTGTTGTTGCATCTAAAATTTTCTTCCATTGTATCTCAGTTGCGTGAGCCATGGTACACGCCGACGTATTTTACAGCTTAGTTTTCGGGTCATGAATATAATGTTGTTATTGTGTCTGCCAGTGCAGCTATATCTATTTTTAAGTTTATCAATTACATATTTGCGTATAACAATGTTATATTAGTAATTTATAATAGAAAACTTTCAAG